CACTAGTTATAGTCACCTGGGAAGAAGGAACTTCAACCGAGGGATTGCCTCCATCAGGTTGGCCTATAGGCAAGTCTGTGGGGCATTGTCTGACACATGGCTGGTGCGGGAGGATCCAGCCCACCGTGGGTGGGACAAGCTCTGAGCAGGTGGCCCTGATAGGTGCTTAGGAGCACCCATACACACTAGCACAAGGCTGCCTTTTCCAAATGTTACGAATCTCGATGAGAAGATGCTGGGGTTCTGTTGGGTTTCAAACAGCGAAGCTGGAGCTTCAAAGTGCAGTAGGATCCTGGCTTACCATCAAGACGTATGTTAGATCCATCTTGCCCTTGAAAGGCAGGTGTGTGTCTTCCCTGTGCCTGGAGGTTTTCAGGAAGTGAAAACATTCTTCTGTGAATGAATGTGTCTGCCGTGTCTGCATGAGGTTGGCTGCCCCAGTGGACATGACCAAATCCTAAAACCTCTCATTCATAGGTGTACCGTGTCTGTTCAGACACCCAGCCACTGTTTTGTCTTTCTTGTCATTCATCTCAGACTGTGTTTTCTGTAAAATTCTTCTGTAAATCCCTATCTGCTTCCTCTAACACTTTCTTCTTCCTCACTTTAAATAAAGTTTATTTATGTTTATAGCTATTTTGCCTCCTTGTGTATCTGTGCACTGTTCATGTTCATCTGAGACTGGGCTTGCAAATGATTGTGAGCCTTCATGTATGAGCTGGGAATTGAACCTGGGTCCCTTAGTTCATCTGGGACTGGGCTTGCAAATGATTGTGAGCCTTCATGTATGAACTGGGAATTGAACCTCGGTCCCTTAGTTCATCTGGAACTGGGCTTGCAAATGATTGTGAGCCTTCATATATGAGCTGGGAATTGAACCTGGGTCCTCTGGAAAAGTAGACAGTGCTCTTAATTGCTGAGGCATCTCTCCAGCCCCTTCCTACTTTTGAACTTACCAATATATCTTGATTCTCTCCCTTCCTACTGTCTTTTTTGCTCATTTCCTTTTTGGTCTACTTTCAACTTATCACCCCCACTCCCACCCAGGGCAGACATATCTGTCCCCTTTTATGCAAAAGCTTCACCATCTTCCTAGACACCCATTGCTGAGACGGAGATGAAGTAGAAGAGACTTCAGAGTCAGTGGGCAGTGGAAGCAGATGGGGGAAGTTACTTCCAGAAAGGGGTGGAGGGCTCCCTGGCCTGTTTTGTCCAATACTTTCATCATATGTCCCCAACATAAAGTCACAAAGGTCATGCTTTCCCAAGTTTGTTGGTTGCTCAATAATGAAAGACAACCACACATTTAGGGTGCCAGAAGCAGAATCCAAAAGCATCCTGGAAGGCAAGAAAATGGACTTAATCTTCACTTAAGGGGGAAAATGAATTGCACAAGTTCAGAACAGGGCAGGTGCAGTTGAGCAATGAGTATTTCTTAATTGCTTTAGCTAAAAGTGGGGCAAAAAGAGAGCCATCTATAGTTAGAGATCCAGCTCCTTTCTCAAAGTATATTTGAGATGGAACAGTACTAAAGACAAGGTTTGGAGTAAGATGGGCTGGTCATACACCACACCAAGAGGGGCAGAGCTATGAGCATCTGCCAAAAGCAACCAGAGTGGATGGGAAGAACTGGGCACGGCTAATGAAGTTAGCAAAAGAGAAGCCGACCCTCGGCTCCAAGAAGTTTGACTTTATACTTTTACTGAAAAGATGTACTTGGCAACAGGCAAAATCATCTAAAGATAGAGAGAGCTGCTTCCTGGAGAAGTATGTACCTTTTGTTAGAAAAAAAAAATGAATTGGTACAGGTTTTCAAAATAAATCAAATATTGGTAGGTAGTTGAAGAAAATGCTGGTAATTCTTTGTGTGTGTGTGTGTGTGTGTACATGTGTGTGCAGGTATGTGTGGTGGTCAGAGGTCAAAGTCATATGTCCTCTTCAATCACGTGCTATCCTTATTCTCTTGTGTATAGCATGCTTTGAACCCTATTTTTATTAATCCAGATTATCTTTATGTGTTTATTTGTTTGAGATATGATTTCATTATGTATCCCAGACTAGTCTTAAACTCACTTCTTCTCTTCACCTATTTTTTTTTTACAGATTTTCTTTTTTAGTTAATCGTGTATGTGTATTTTTGAGTGTGGCTTTGTATATGCTGCACACAGGGCTGGAGGAGTGGAGGAGGTCAGAAGAGAGCTTTGGATCCTTGGAACTGGTGTTGTACAGTTGTGATCCTCCTGACACGGGTGCTGAGAGCTGAACTCCCATCCTCTGCAAGACAATGTTAAAAGCTGAGCCATCTCTCCAGTTCTCCCGTATTCCTTGAGACACTTTTTCACAGAACCCAAAGCTCACTGGTTCAGTTAGAATGGTTGAGCAGAAAGCTCCAGGTATCTTACTGTCTTACTCTTCCAGAACTGAGATTGTAGGTACGTGCCACCACACCTGGCTTTTTTGTGTGCTGGAGATCCAAACTCAGGATTTCATGCTTGCACAGCAAGCAGCTTATCAGCTGAAGTTCTCTCTTCTATGTTCTTCTGGTTAATATGAGTCGGAGACAATAATAATACTTGCTAATCATTATGCACTTACTGTTAGCTTAGGACATGGTACTCAGTGTTTCATCTGCATTCTCTTACTCAACCCCTACAGTAACATGCTGAGCCTGTTGCTGTGATTACTACCATGTTAGAAATGAGGAAGGCAGTTCGGGGAAGTGAAGAATGAACCCGAAATGCTGCCATAAAGAATAAAATCTCCATGGTGAGTGGGATCAAATGCCTAGCCATGCGGAGACACTTTCACAGTTGTTTAATATGGACTGTGGAGGCTGCAGAGATGTCTAGCTTCTTTCAGGGTGGGAAGACGTGTCAGAGAAGGAAACATGGAAGAACTATCTTTAGCCAGGTTGAGTTAGTTTGCAAAACAGTCAAATAAAACAAATCCTGTAAGTATAATGGAATTTTTGTTCAAAGCTACAAGCATCAGTTTGAGTTTTTAATTACAACAGCAGTGAGTTAGTCAAAGAGAGGAATAATAAGGCCGCCATCATTTCTGGTGTCAACAGCCATTCTTACAGCTCACCCTTTAACCTGTAGGAAGAACTGGATTCCTTTTATATTTTGTAGAGTCTGTCCATGGGAAATTTAGTCCAAGGATAAAGGAAATTAGAAAGCCTCCCAATGACCACAAATTCCTCTGTTCAGTTCCAAGTCACCGTGTTCTTACTGAGCAATGGGTCTACCTATGCCTCTAGTTTAGAGGCTCCTGGAGCCCTTTTTGACTTAAGTCATGAAACTGAGGCTCAGAGGAGAGTTCCAGGGCAGAATCAGGGCTCAGAAGACTTGGACCTGGGGATCCCACTGGGGAGTGAGGGTTGACAATGAAATAATTGAGAGAGGTGCTAAACTATCACTTGCAAGAAACATTGGGTGTGGAGACAGATTCAAGCACGGGTGTGGGGACTAGGTAAAGTCTTAGGTCACCTGCTGTGTTCCAGGTCCGGTAGAAGGATCTCCCCTCAACAGGGTGAAGACAGGGTTCTGGGAAGGAGGTAAGCGTGTAGCACCCTGCTTGAGCCTGAACTCGCTGGCTGGGTGAGAGCTCAGTGCTAGGATTTGGTAACCTGTCACCTTCAGCTTGACACTTTAATCTGCCCAGGCCTTTTGGACCAGAGCCTGTCATGTGAAGGTCTTCCAATCAGGTGACTGTGAATCAGGGCTGTCCCCCAGGGGCTTGGGAAAAGAAATGAGTAACCAGATTGCACCAGACCCTTGCTTGCTGTCTCCCAGTGACCTGCACCCAGGCCAGGCCCATCCCTGACCCGGGCTCTGGTAGAGCCCTTGGTAAAAACAAATCACAAAGAGGAGCCAGGGCTGGAGAGGCAGGGGGCCACTCCCAGCTGCCCACAGGGCCTTTAGAGTGTGCAGCTGCTGCAGCATGGGACACCCCCGGTGGCAGCTCTTGTTTGTCCGGGTGGAAGGATGCCACGTTCTTACCTCCGAGACCTAGGGGGTGCAAGCTGGGAGTGTGATAGATATAGTGTACTCAGAGCCAAGCGGCTGCTCTCAGAACTGGGTCACCTCACAGACCGGCACGACGACGTGTCCCGTTTGCTGGGATCAGGTTTCGTTCTTCCTTGTCAAACCCAGTAGTGCCCCCAGGCTGCTGGCAGCTCGCAGGCTCTCCTTTGTCCTACAGTTCCAGGAGGCCAAGAGAGAAGTGACACAAAGGGCTAAATGCCCAAGCTCCCCACCCTCTGTGCACAGTAGCGCTGGCTCTTCCAGGTTCCTGGGCCCAAGGGGGGTCCTGGGGCAGTAGGAGTGAGACCTGCACAGCCATCGCCTGACCTTGCCAAGAGCTGCTCTGGGGATTGGAGGGTGCCTCCCTTTCCACCACCTTGGGTCTTTCCAACTTGTATTTCTGCTGACGCTGGAGCCCTGGTGTTTTGCCCTTAGAGACACCCTGTAATTGAAAGGAGAGATGGGAGAGAGAGAGAGAAAAAATGCCGCTTGCTGCTTGGACTCCGAGACAGACACTTGCTGCCCTCTAACGGCTCCTGCCACTGAGTTCTCAGACTGGGCTGGCACCAGGCACAGGCGTTCCTTTCTGCAGGGTCTGCGGTGGGGGTTTCCTTCCTCTGGTTAGCAGGCCCTTTTCCCTACAACTGCTGAAAGGGCCAGCCGTTTCTCATCACAAGGAAAAGATGTCAAAAGTCAAGCAGTTCTGGTGTGGCTGGCTCAGAGAGAAAAGACTGGCCCAAAGTTTCGTTGCTGGACCCGAAATAACCCATAGCAGTTTATATGGCCTCAGTGACCCTGCTGTCTTGGAAAGGGACAGCTCCTCCCCCACCCCCCTCTGCTCTTTTGCGGTTCCTAGCAGCTCCCTGTGCTAGAAAAAGGAAAACACAATGCTCTGGCAAGGGCCAGCAGTTGTCATCATCGGGTTTATGCACACAAAGGGGCTTCCTTTTCCTGCCTTGATGGTGGTGGGGGTAGGGCAAGAGCTGTGGACAAGGGTTCCCTCCCCCGACCTTTTCTTGGGAACCTAAAGAACCAACTCCAAAGGCAAACATGGACCTCTGAACAAAACATCTGCTGGGTGAATATTTGAAGACCTGGAGACACAGGTTGGACAGCATCCAGCTCTGTAGAGAGGAACCAAGCACTTATTCAAAGGGACAAAGGTCAGAGGTAGGGGAAGAAAACCTGGGACTCACTTCTGTTTTGGAAGCTGGGAAGCTTGGCCCTAGACAGGATGGAAACAATCTGAAAGGGGGCTCATCTGGCTCGGGAGACTGTGCTGTGAATACACTCTGTGACTGGCTGGGCAGAAAGTAGAAGGCGGAAGTTAGGGCCCTTGAGTTTAGAATGTCCTGCAGAGTGAGGCTTCTTAGGGAAAAGTGTCATTTTGAGACAGTGTGTGGGATGTCTTTTCTTCAGCTTTTGTGAAACTGGGGGTTGGTGGTCAGTGAGATGAGGGAGGGAATTCCGTGTGGGGCTGGCAAACCATTGCTCTCTGTTGTCAGGAGGGAGGAGTGATGGGGGGAGGCAGGAAGTTGAGCTGCTGAGCTGGAGTTTGAATTCAGAGCATTAGTTTTACAAGGGGGTTTGTGATCTACCCCTTCCGAGTTTCTCTTCATAGGAAGGGAAAAGAAGCACTTTTTATTTTAGTTTATTTTAAATCTGGTTGCAAACATTTGCTATTGGGAAAAGAGTATTTCTTTACCCTATAGCCACTCAATTTTATAGAATCTCTCTCTCTCTCTCTCTCTCTCTCTCTCTCTACACACACACACACACACACACACACACACACACTTTTCTCATAATCCTGAACAAGTTTGAAAAAATTAAGGGCTTTTGGTGGTGGTGGTACACTCCTTTAATCCCGGCAGTTGGGAGGCAGAGGCAGGTAGATCTCTTTGGGTTCAACACTAATTTGTTCTACATAGTGAGTTCCATAACAGCCAGAGCAAACAGTGAGACCCTGTCTCAAAAACAAAACAAAAAACAACAACAAAAGAAAAAGAAAAAATTAAGTTAAATTTAAATTTTTTAAGGTTTTTTTCTTCCTCTCATTCCTCTCTCTCCTCTTCCTTTTCCTCCCCCTCCTCCTCCTCCTCTTCTTGACAGAACTGACCTGAAATTCTGGTTCCTGATTGCCTAAAGGTGCTCACTGGTCTTCAGATCATAAGTAGCTTTGGAAGCAGTTAAGAGCCCAGTATGCATCTGCATGCACCTAACAGGCCCACAGGGTCTTGCTTCTCAGCTGTAAGGGCTTGGTAAGTCAAGGATAAAGCCAGCTTTTAGTGTTGGCTTACTCTCAAGGGTATAGAGTAGAGAGAAATGATAAATCTAATTTCTACCTTAAGACTTGGATTGTTTTATGATTACCCCCTGCCATCAAACCCAAGTTTGAACATGGGATTCTAGGAAATGTTTTCCACCTTGTTCAGCCAGGAGTCCCTTTACATGAAACAATTTAAACCCTGGAGATATACATGTCTCTCAAAAAGCTGTGTGCACCGCCTAGTGACACCTCATTAGCTCTCTGGATTTTTTTGTTGGGTGAGGCAGTGTTTGCTTTTGTTTATGGTAAAACCAAAGGTTGATGGTGGGCCCCGGGTTGTATGTTACATTTAAAGCAAAAGAGTATAACTAAAAGACACCAAAAGTTTCCTTTATTTTATTATTATTTATTCCATGCAGTACAGGGATAGAGTTCAGGGAGGGTCTTGTGCATGCTAGGCAGCTCCTCTGACCCCTCGAGCCCTGGAGATATCTTTCAATCTCTGACATTTTATGATTTTTGGTTTAATGTTCTAACCATGGTTGGAAGAAGCCAACCAGATAGAAATACTATACATTCTGGGGACAATGGCACCTTATAGGAGGGCTCTACTGAAGTGGAGCCTATCCATCTCCAGGGATACCTAGCACAATAAAGAGCATGACAAATCTCCCATGTCATTGTTTGTGTTTGAACACAGCCTTCCTATGCTGCTCAGGCTGACTTCCATGTGCCTAGCTCTAAACCTCGTTTCTTGACATTTCCACACTGCAGGGTGGGCATGAAAGTGACCATGTATGCTGGGGATAAACTCAGGGCTTCTTCATTCGCTGAATGTGGAATGGCCCCCACAGACCGTATTTGAACACTTGGTCCCAATGTGGTGGCACTGCTTTGGGGTGCTGGAAAACCATTAGTTAGGGCCTAGCTTGTCGTTGGGTAAGGTATTTGAAGGTGTAGTCCTTTCTCTCCAGTCCTCAGTCCTCTTTAATGTGTCCAGTGTGACCAGTGTTCTATATGTTCCTATCACTGAGAAGCAGTTAGTTGCCCTGCCTTGATGGGTAGCTTTCTCCAACCTGTGAGCTGGAGTCAGTTTTTCTCCCTGAAGTTACTTCCTTCAGGTGTTTGGTCACAGCATCAAGAACAAGGAGCAACACACCACACAGAACCCTTTGCCCCTGAGCCAAACCCCCAAGCCACTGGTTGCTGGTTGCTTTTTAGGTATCTGGGAATGGCACTATGATTGCACTCTTTCTAGACAAGTGCTCTTCAATAGAGCTTGCTTCTAAACCTCGTGTTTTGTGGGGTGGACGCATGTTTGCACACAAGGGTAGGACACTGTGCCTTCCTTACGCTAGAGCTAAGTCACAGCTTTAACTAGGCCCCCCTCCTTTTTCCTTTTAGCCAAGCTGGGGGTGGAACCAGTGGTCTTGTTCCTGCTACACTAATACTCTGCTACAGAGCCACACCCTCAGCTCCACACAGCACTTTTTTTTTTTATATTTATCATTGTAGGCTGGAGAGATGGCTCAGTGGTTAAGAGCACTGCCTGTTCTTTCAAAGGTCCTGAGTTCAATTCCCAGCAACCACATGGTGGCTCCCAACCATCTGTAATGAGATCTGGTGCCCTCCTCTGGCCTGCAGGCAACAGGCAGGCAGAACACTGTACACATAATAAATAATAAATTGAAAAAGGTTTATCATCACTATTTGTAATTATGTGCAAAAAGAAGAGGTATGCGTCTGCATGTTGAACCAGCCCCCAGCTTATCCATTAATCAGTAGCTTACCCAGTTGTGATTCCATATGCACATGTATACAGGAGCCCTTGAAGGTCAGAGGCATTGAATGTCCTAGAGCTGGAGTTACAGACTATGCCCACTGGATTTGGATGCTGGAAACTGCACTTGGAATGCTCTTAAGTGCTGAGTCATCCCTCAAGCACTATTTTTAAATATTTTTCTGGCTGGGTGGGTACATGCATGAGTGCATGCATACTAGGGATGAAAGTTTTGCTACTCCTGTAGGCTTGTAGGGACATTTTTACAGTCCTACAGACCCAAGTCTCTCCCCTGGTAAAGTTAGGAGCATTCTCTGACAGTATATGGATGTGAGACTCAGTATTTCTCTATCAAAGAAGTCAATAGAGTTGTTTTCCCTGCCATTTCTTCCTCCCCTCTTTCTTTCTTTTGGTGGTGATGGAGAGGGAGCCTGAGTCCCTCAGAGCTATACCTCCTCTCCCATTTATTATGGTCTTTGTGTATAAAGGCTAGATTCAAAAGACTGAATGGTGCTGAAATATAAACGGGCTTCAGTGAGCTCTTGCCTGCACTAGGGTTTGTGATAGATAGGGTGAGAGAAAAAAATAAGGGATCAAAGTAGAAAGAAAAACTTTGGAAGAAAGTTGGGAGTGAGAAAGGAGATCTAGGCCCCTTTGTAGGGAAAGCAGCTCAGATCACAGTGTAGGGGTGTGTGAAAAGGTGGCTTGCCATGGTCGAGGTAAGAAAGAGAAACAGTGGGATGCCAACTCTGCATGGGGCATGTGCCTGAGAATACATGCCCACAGAAGCCGGCACATGGTAGAGAAATCTGCAAAGAGACCTTTTGGCTGTGAGTGGAAAGGGGGACCTGCAGGGGCCCCAAACTGGGAACCAGTCCAAAGCCACCAGTCTGCCAGCGAGAGAGGGAACTTGGAATCACAACCGGGTAAGCTACTGATTAATGGATAAGCTGGGGGCTGGTTCAGGTGAGGGTGCACCTGTGACTTACCTAATCCCTACAAAGCTGCACCCTGGGATCCCTCACACTCTAAACTGCAGAAAGAAAGCCTGGGTTGTGTTGAATGGCATTGGGGAAAGGGACTCTGAAGGGGGAAGGTTCAAAAAGAAAATCTGATTTGGAGTTGGGGTGGGGCTTGGGGGACTGTTCTTTCTCATGAGCAGAAGTGCCCATGAAGACAAGAGTCAGAGTGGCTTTCTGAATCTGGGCACCAAATATGGGTGGAAGTTAACTGTCTGTTATATGTACCTACACACAAGATTATCTGCCAGCTTTGAGGACTTTCTTGTCTATTTTTGTTCCCAGTTTTGCTGGTAACATTTTCTCAAACTTTAAAGTGTGATATGCATTCAGGAAAAACATAATGCCTGGATCCTAATCATGTAGTTTGTTAAGTTTGCAAATGCTCACTGGAACCAGCATTCTGACTAACAGCACTTGCAGCAAGAGCCCATCTCACTCATACCTTCCCTAGCTCCGGCTCTTGGCCTACATCACAGCCCAGTTTGCCTGATTATTTCTCCTAGCCCCACTATTGTTTCTCACCTACCCACGCGTTCTGTCCCGAGATCCAGTGCCTTGCATATACCTAGCCAGTGCCCTACCTCTGAGCTACAGCCCCAGATTGAGCGGGGGGAAATCAAATTGTGGTATCAGACACCACAATTTGCCATAAGCCTTACTCTTTTAGCTACTTAAACACTGTGTGCCGTGTGATGATAGGAATAATTTTATATTGACCATCACCACCATCCATCTCCCCAACTTTTTCAGAAGAGGTTCTATACCCACAAGCGCTAATCCTCGATCCCTTTTGCTCCCAGCTCATGGCAGCCACCATTCTATGTCCTGCCTCAATGACTTTGGCAACTCCAGGGACATCATTTTGCTGGAGGTCAGAGGACATCTTGGAGGAGTTGGTTCTCTCCTTCCACTCTATCGGTCCCAGGGATGGAACTCCCATCACCAGGCTTGGTGGCAAGTATCTCCATCCACTGAATCATTTTCAACTTTTGGGGGAACCACAATGCTGTTTCTCTCCATCTCTTTCTTTGTTCTTTATAATCATGGGACTGCTCAACCCATACTCTTGTGTTTGGCTTCAGCATCAAGTTTTCACTTC